GTGGAGGGAGGCAGTCGAGGGTAGTGTGCTGGGGTGGCTGTGCGGGGCCGTGAGCACACACACTGCACAGGCTCTCCACATCACCCAAGACACTGTGGGCATGCCTCCTTGTGCCAGCCCTGTTCCTCTATAATTCTGGGGCACACAGAGTGGCATGCCAGCATCTCCTCTGACCCTTCCTGTGCGTTCAGAACTGGCATTGCTCGCTCTGGGCTTCCTGGTTCCTAGGAGAAGGTGCAGGAGGTAACTTTGGCCTCTCCGCCCTCCCCAGTACCCCTTGGCATTTGGACATGTGCGACAGAGAAAGAGAGAGAGAGAGAGAAGCGGGTGGGGCCGCCCCAGATAGTTGGCACAGGGTCACGTCTCTCTGTCAGAGCTCAGTGAGCGCTGCTGGTCTTGTAAAACCTGTGATGGTAATTGAATCCGGGCAGGAGTCCTTGACAGGGGCTGTTAAACGCAGTAGCAGGAGTGGGCTTGGGTTTATGGGCTCCCGGTCCCCAGCTCCTCTCCCGGTCCCCAGCTCCTCTCCCGGTCCCCAGCTCCTCTCCAGAAAGGCCAGGGCTGAGCTTCTGCTGGGGCTTGGATGCGATGGAGCAGGGGGATGGACTTCATGACCCCCGCCCTGAGAGCAGCCGGGGACTGGCCTAGGAGCCACAGTCTGTGTGTTTCCACCCAGGGCCTCAGGAAGGCCCCGGGAGCTGGCTCCCTCCGTGGGCGGGTGGTCATCCTTCAATCTGCGCTCCCGTGCCCCGGGTTCTGCCGTGCACTGGCATGGGGGTCGGCCCTGTGCCTGCTCCCAGGCTCCTAGAAGAGGAGACGGTGGGACACTGACCTTCTGGAATGCCAGGAAGGGAGGGAGCCCAGGATGGGCAGCTGAGGCCCCTGGGGTGGTCAGGCCAGTGCTGAGGCTGGGGACAGAGAAACTGTTGCCCCAAAGGGTGGAGGGGGCATGGGTGGAGTGGGCGGGAATGTTCCCTGCTGGTCCAGAGAGGTTGACCATTGTCCCCAGGGTGGTCTGGCACACCTGTGGTTGTGCCCAGGTAGGAAGGCTGCTGTGCCTTCTGGAAAGGCTGCTCCTGAAAAGGACACATCACCAGACATCTGCCCTTCGAGGGGCCTCTGCCTTGGAACAGTGGAGCTGCGACCTCCCTGCAGAGCAGGTGGGGGCAGAAGCAGCGCTGGGCACACCTGGCTGGGTGAGGGCAGCCAGGGTGGTGAATTATTTAGAGTCGCCAAAGGTGTTGAGTTAGAAGCTAATTAAACAAGCTCTCCGCAGAGCAGCGCTGTAAAAGAATCATAAAACTCCAATCTCATTTGTTCCGCTCGGCTTGCACAGGTGCAGCACGCCCCATAAAAGGCGGCCAGCGCTGCACAGTCTGTGGGCAGCTTGCAAGTGTGCGGCCTTCAGCGGTGCTCTGCAGGGCCGTCCTGGCTGGCTAGGGCTGGGCCAGGCTGGAGAAAGCCCTGGGCGTGTGCTGGCAGCTGGGAGGCTGCGGCCCCCCAGGCAGCCCCTCGGTAGGGGCAGTTCTCACTCAGGGAGAAAGGGAGACCTATTGTGGAAAGGTGAGGTGGCTTCGCTAGCCTGCAGGCGACCCAGGGTCCCCTTTGTGGTGCTGCTGTCCTGCTGCCTTGGGTCTTGGAATGAGGCCTTCTGGTGCCCAAGCCACAGTGGGCAAGGCTGCTTCACCCTTGAGTTGTCATGGAGTGGGAGCGAGAAGCTGGGCTTGCAGAGGAAGGAGAGGGGTTTCTCTGTACTGGCCTGAGAGAGGACTCTGGGGTGGCGCTGTGGGCCGGGGCGCTGCTGGCCTCTGCCATGCACCTGCTGTGTGCGGCTCTGCACCAGGAGCCCAGACTGCAACGGGGGAGGGAACCTGCAATTCCCACACGCCTGCCATAGCTTGTCCAGCAGAGCCCAGCGGGGGGTCTGCCTCTGACACCTGAGGGAGGGATGCAGGCAGGAGGTGAGGGGACTGGTGCTTCTAAAGCCCGCCCACTCAGGCAGGGGGACGTGCCTTAGGGCTGAGTGTGAGGTGGGGGCTCAGAGCTTAGGCCCATGTGAGGGGCTGACTAAGCTCCAGGCTTTGCTTCGAGGGGTTTGGGTGGGTGTGTTTAGGCAAATCCCTTTAGCATCGGGGACTCGGGCTGCGTCCTCTGCAGCAGACGCCATATTGCCTCCTGGACCTCTCTCTACCATGCCTCTGTTTCCTCGTTTCCACCGCTGTCACGGAGGCAGTGTGACTGGACGCTGAGGGTGCAAGGCGCTCACCGCTGTCACGGAGGCAGTGTGACTGGTCACTGAGGGTGCAAGGCGCTCACCGCTGTCACGGAGGCAGTGTGACTGGACGCTGAGGGTGCAAGGCACTCTCTGCGTGTTGGGCTCCCTCGTGGCTGGCAGAGGCTCCGCATGCCCGGCGGGTTGCAGTTTGCAGACAGAGCTCACTTGGTTCCTGGGACCTGTGAATCCCTGCAGCGCGCCAGGGCATCCACTCAGTTGAAGGGTGGGATGGGACAGCTGGAGGTAAAGTGGGTACCGGGGTCATTCCTGCTACAGCCGGGTCTGTCTTTCTGGGTCTCTGACCTTCCAGAAGGACAGCTCTGCCCTGTGGGCCCCTCGGCACGCGCATGAAGCCTCTGGGGCCTGGACCATTCCCGTCCTATTGAGGGAGGATGCAGGGTGGAAAGTGCTCCCCCAGCAAGGTTGAAGGAAAAGCCGGTGGCCGTGATTTGCCATTGTCCCTGTCACCTGGGTGTCCTGAGACCCCCCTGGGGACCAGCCTTGGAGGGTCCAGCCTTAGCCGGACAGGCGGTGTCTGGTTGTGCAGGTTGATGGCCCAGCTCCTACCCTCATCGGCAGTTGGCTTTCATGAGCCTGCCACGCACTGTGCATACAGGCCAGGTCTGGTCACATCTGGAGTTTGGAGAGCCCAGCGGTGCCCCTCCTGGGCAGGACTAGGGGTCACCTAGGCCTCTCTGTAGCTCTGGAGGCCAAGGCAGGGCCGTGAGCAGTGGCCAGGGTCCTAGTGCTTATCTGGGATCTGCAGTCCAGCTTCGAGCCCCACACAGCAAGCCCAGGAGCCCGGGCTCCATCTGCAATGACAGGTGACAGGCAGACAGTGTGGGCACCCGGAGCGTGGGTGTGCATGCTGTGATTTGTTGTCATCTCAGCACAGAACAGGCTGATTTCTCCAGCCTGGGTGGCCTGCCGTTTGGTGTGGGGCCAGGGGACGCCATCGTGTGGCATGTCAGGCCTCTTTGTCTCCTGGTTGGAAGATGTTGATGGATTCTCTATTGCTCGTTTGATCAAATTGTCCAGAACACAAAGGGGGAGATTGTGGCAAAAGCCACATTTGGAAAAACAATTCCTCATCCTGACAGCAGTCCCTGGAGAGAGGGCTGGTCCCGCTGGGTCCCCAGCACAGAGACCGCTTGGAAATCTGGCTGGCAGGCGAGACCTGTAATTGGGGCTAGAGTGGGCTCCATGGCCAGGAGCAGGACAAGGAGAGGCAGCCCACCAAGGAAGATGCCCTGAGACCCTACCCTGAGATTCAGGATTTGTAGCAAGCGTGGCCTGTCACGTGGGAGCCACCTGCAAGTTCACGGGTAGAGGAATGCAGAATAAAGTGGGGTGATCTGCCATTCAGGATCCTATAGCAAAACAGCCTGAGCAAGGGGCTATCGAGACTGACGTCTCCCACGTCTGGAGACTGGAAGGGAAGGACCCTGGCAGACGCCTTGTCTGTGAGGGCTGCTTTTGTTCTCCAGTTCAAGGATGGCTGTCTTCCGGCTGTGTCCTCACGTGGAGGACGGGGTGATGGAGCTCTCCAGGTTGTGTTTGTAAGTCCTTAACACCATTTCCGAGGGCTCCACCTCCATGACCCAATCAACTCCCAAAGGCCCTGCCTCCCAATTCCATCACGCTGGACCTGAGGTTTTCAACAAGGAATTTGGGGGTGACTCAAACGTGGAGACCATAGCAACGTCTGCCCTGCAAGTACAACACAGCAGATAACAAGACGAGCTAGGTCCTCAGCGAAAGACAGGCGATGTCCATAGCATCTGGGGCCTTCTGGCCACGGTAAACATGGATTCAACATGCTGCTCCTTGACTCAATAGACGTTGGGTCTTGTTGGTGGCACAGTTCCAGGTGGGTCTTCCTGGTTGAGGGCCCAGGGCCTTCCAGGACTCTGCCACCCTGTTGGGTCTCACTTCCACCTGAGGAGGGTGGAGAATCCTGATGGGAGGTGGAAATGGCCACATGGAGCTGTGACGGGTGGGGAGGGCGGCCGGGTCATGTGGGCAGACGCAAAGGCAGCCTGGGTGCTGCGGGCAGTCAGCCCTGTCCTCAGCAGTGTGCACAGTCGCTGGGGAGAAAAAGAGAAATCCCAGAGCTACGTGTGCCGTTCGATGCCATCCACGGAAACACACAAAGCACAGCTGCGTTTCCCTAGACACGAATGCATGAGGTGCACAGGGAATGTTCTGGAATGACACACACCGAGGGGAGAAGGGCTATCACCCTGGGGAGGCCACTTGGACCGAGGAAGGGGGAACAGGGGATTTCTGTGTCTATAAAGTTTGAATTTTCATTATATAAATTTATTCACAAATCATTTGCATAATTAAAAAAACAAACTGGAATACAGTATAAGAGGGGTATGATAAGAGGAATGAATTCAGAAGTGAGGTGTTAACTGGGGGCATTGATCCAGCAGCCTGGCCATCTCTAGCTCTCTCCTTCAAGCCACCTGCCAGGCCCCCAGGCTGTCAGGGACCCCAGGCCAGGCAGGTGATCAGAGCTTTCCAGTTCTGCCAGACTGAAGGGGTGGGCAGTGGGGAGCAGGTGCCTCTACCATCCCGTGGTCCCAGCTCCTCAGGCACCATCCTCCGTGGACAGCCCCTGCGACACCTCCCTGGGGTATAGTCCTGCACTGTGGACTGGTGCTGGGGCCAGGCCAGGTGCCGAACACAGGTGATGGAGCCATATCCCCCTCTCTCCCAGGATTCACGTCTGCAATACGGAAGGGAGACCCTTGGGAGCTCAGAGACTGCTGAGGCCCCTAGGCTCAGGTGAGTCCTGCCGGGCTGCGTTCCAGAGGGCAGACAGGAGGTGATGTGGGACTCAAGGCTCTGATGATAGCAGCTGCTGGAGAAAGAGTGGCATCAAAGTGGGACTGGGAGAAGGCTGGGTCCAGCTGCAATGCATGGATGGGTGAGGTGCTTGCTGGCTGGGAACCCAGCCTGCGGGGGCTTTGGTGATGAAGGTGTTTTTGGGTGGAGATGTCTTGGGGGAGGTGGCCTGGGGCAGCTCAGAGGCTGGCTGTGTCTTCCTGGCCCTGTCACCCTTAGCATGGGGTGTCCAGAGTTGTTGCCTTGTGGACCAAGACAGCCCACAGCCCATGGCAGCTTCCAGAGCCAGAAGAACAGGAGTCATCTCTGAAGAGCCCGGGGCTACCTCTTTGCTGATCTCATTGGCCAGAACTTTCTGGCTCTCACGCTCACCCCAAGGCCAATCACTAGCAAGATAAAAAAGCAGCACCCCTGCAGGGCCGAGACCAGCTATACCCTGGGCAGGGGAGGGGCTGCCCCTTCCTTACCTGAACTCAGTTAAATTTATTTTTATTTTTTAACATAAAGAAAAGGCAATGGGAATTCAGTGAGTGGACGACTAGCCACCTCTGTGGCTGCCTGCCGTGTGAGCGTGGGCCGTGTTCCGTCCTTGGTCTCCTCGTGGCTGCCTGCCGTGTGAGCGTGGGCCGTGTTCTGTCTTTGGTCTCCTCTGTGAAGCGGGAATAAAAGCAGGGACTAGGTTCTGACCCCTCAGACCTCGCTCCTGAGCTTTCCACGTCTGTATCCATTTGCTCTTCATCCCTACCCTCAAGACTTTCAGGATTCCGTCTGCAGATGAGGACTCAGTGAGGCCCCGCTTACGGGGCTGAGCTGAGGGGCCAGAGGTCCAGCCCAGAGGTCATTGGCTCCCTGGAGCTCTGGGAGCTCCCGGCTCCCAGCAGTGCGTGAATGTGCATGCGTGCGTGCGTGTGTGTGAATGTGTGCACGTGTGCATGCCTATGTGAAGTGTGTGCATGCATATGTGTGAATGTGTGCATGTGTGTGCATGCGTCAGGGACAAATACACATTAACGTGCCAGTGGCACGCCGTCCCCCCTCCATCATTCATTCACAGCCACATATGCATATGTGTGTGAATGTGTGTGTCGGGCATGTGTGCATGTCTGAGTGATTGTGCATGTCTGTGAATGTGTGTGTGCCTGTCTCTGTGCATGCATATATGAGAGTGTGCATGCATATCTGTGTGTATGCATGTCTGTGAATGTGTGTGCATATTTGCACATGTGTGCATGTCTGTGAAAGTGTGTGTGCATGCATATATGAGTGCATATGTGTATATCTGTGTGTGTCTACATGTCTGTGAATGTGTGTGCATGCATATAGCCAGTGTGCATCAAGTGTGTGTGTGCATGTCTGAATGTGTGTGCATGCATATGGGTACATGTGTGCATATCTGTGTGCATGTCTCTGTGTGCGTGCACTTGCTATGAGTGCGTGCATGCATATCTGCAATATTAATGTTACCTTTGTCTGTGAATGTGTGTCATGCATATATGAGTGTATTGTGCATATCTGTGTAGTCTGCTTATGCACCTGCTCCCAAAGATATTATGTTTGCATATATTGTGCATATCTGTGGCTGTGTGAGTGTGTGCATGTCTGTGAATGTGTGTGTGCATGCATATAGGAGTGCATGTGTGCATATCTGGCAAAGTGTGTCTGCAGGTCTGTGAATGTGTGCATGCATATAGCAGTGTAGCCTTATTGTACATATCTGTGTGCGTACATGTCTGTGAATGTGTGTGCATGCATATATGAATGTGTGTCCTCTGTGTGTATATTTTGCATATCTGTGAATGTGTGCATGCATATAGGAGTACATGTGTGCATATCTGTATGTGTGCATGTCTCTGTGTGCATGCATATATAGTGCGTGCATGCATATCTGTGTGTGTGTGACTGACTGTCTGTGAATGTGTATGCATATTTGTGCGTGTGCATGTCTGCAAAAGTGTGTGTACTGCATATATGGTGCGTTGTGCATATCTGTGTGTGAGTGTGTGCGTGTCTGTGAATGTGTGTGTGCATGCATATATGAGTGCATGTGTGCAAATCTGTGTGTGTCTACATGTCTGTGAATGTGTGTGCATGCATATATGAGTGCATGTGTGCATATCTGTATTAATGTCACCACATGTCTGTGAATGTGTGCATGTATATAGTGCATTTGTGCATATCTGTGTGTGTCAGTGATGTCTGTGAATGTGTGGCTTGTGCATGCATATATGAGTGCGTGTGTGCAAATCTGTGTGTGTGTACATGTCTGTGAATGTGGGCATGCATATATGATGTATTTGTGCATATCTGTGTGTGAGTGCATACATGCCTGAATGTGTGTACGGTGTGTGCGTGTCTGTGAATGTGTGTGTGCATGCATATATGAGTGCGTGTGTGCAAATCTGTGTGTGTGTACATGTCTGTGAATGTGTGTGCATGCATATATGAGTGTATTTGTGCATATCTGTGTGTGAGTGCATACATGCCTGTGAATGTGTGTGCACGCATATATGAGTATGTGTGTGCATATCTGTGTGTGTGCATGTCTGTGAATATGTGTGCATGCATATATGAGTGTGTGTGCATATCTGTGTGTGCATGTCTGTGAATGTGTGTGCATGCATATATAAGTGTGTGTGTGCGTGTGCATGTGCATGCACATGTGTGATGAGCCCAGCTACCAAGGCACCTGCTAAACACCGCACCTGCACCCTGGAAACCCTCCCACATGCCATCAGCCAGGGTCATGAGTCAGCAGACATGATGTGCCTGACGGCAGTGCTCCTAAGAGAAGCCTAAACAATTTTCACAGGAAATGCATCTAGGAGCTGGATTGTATAAATGCAACACTAATTACATAAAATTTCAAAAATACTGTGCACAAAGAAAAATAGTCTCCCCATTATCATATTCCCTCATGTCACCTACCATAAACATGTTGATGTCAAAGGCTTTCGGGTTTTGTCTGTGCACATGTTCGTGTTTTAGGTCATTTTTTTTCTCACAGGTTGAGACTGCCTTATCTACTGCTTTGTAAACCTGGAAGATTTTTGTTGTGAATAAATACATGCCGCAACAATGCCTAATGCTTTTGTAGGGTTCTGTTATTTGGATGTGCCACTGGTGGTGACCGCTGGTCCCTGGGTGGCCTTTTGAGGTGCTTCCAAATCTCTGCGATGGTGACGTCACCTCTGCTGCCTCTCTAGCCACAAGTCCGGGCACCTCCCCTGCCTCCTCCTTCCTGCTGCTTCTTCTCAGCCTCCAGGCACATTCCTGCTGCAGGGCCTTTGCACATCCCGGGATTCTGCCAGGGCTCTGCCCTCCCCAGGTCTTCTCACCATCTGTCTGTCACTCCTCTGGGGCCTCTGCTCCATTGTTTCTGGTCTGATGATGGCTTCCAAGGCAGTCCTCTGGAGTGGCACATTCGGGCCACATGACACGCCGGCCTACGCTGTCCCCAGGGACGGTGGCCACTTGCTCTCCCGCCCCCTCTCCTCCCATGCCCACCTCCCAACCCTGGCCAGCATTTGAAATCTCCAGTTTTTGAGTCTTTTTCACCCCCATGGCCAGCTTGGTGAGAAATGGCTTCTCACTGTTGGAGCGTGTCTGGCTATACTCGATTGCACATTTCCGTGCCTCTTGTCACTTGCCCTTGTTTTATGAATTGCTACTTTGACCTTTTTGCTCATTTGTCTATCCAGTGCCCATCTCTTCCCAATGATTCCTGTGTTCTCTGTGTAGGTCGCTGGGGATGAGAACAGGAGCTTTTCCTCCCCCACGCTGAGTCTCGCGTTCAGGGTGGAGTGACATCCCAATGGCCATCAGCATGCAGTGGGGGCTGGCGCTCCTCAAGACCAGCAGGGTTTGCAGGTTGTCAGGGCTGTGTGCCACCAGGGCTTGGCAGGTCCCCAGGTGTGGCGTTTGCCATGCAGGTGTCCCCTGTGCCACAGCCCCTGTTCCCTGCGACCTTCCCCTGATCCTGCTTCTCAGGTGAAATGTGGCCTGGGAGCTTCTGGTTATGTGGAAGACAACAGCTGTGGAGGCCTCCCCATGACCTCAGGGGCCACTGTGGAGAAGGGCTCACTGGGTGCAGACAGGGGCAGATGGCCTGGGGGTCCCAAGCCATGACATCTGTCCTGTGTTCAGCTGGGAGGGTGCCGTCATTGGAACCGGCAGGCACAGGAAGGAGGGACCTTGTGTGGCTGCAGATGGAGGGGTCTGTGTGTGTCCCTCCCTGCCATGGCAACCTGTTTGCCCCTGTCCACCCTGCCTTCAAGTGCCAGAGGGTATGGGGACAGCAAGGGCCGCAGTGGCCGCGAGGATCCTGCAGACGTTGTCCTGCAGTGCCCTGGAGATCTATAGACCTGGGGTCCCACTTGCGGAAGCCAGGCCTGTGCGTCAGGTTTCGGGGCTCCTCAGCCCGTTCCCATGCCATTACTGAGGCTGGTAACTGTGCCCCTCTTCAGGGGTTCCTGGGGCGGCTGCTCACTCCTGGTTGTGCAAACACCCCTTCTTTCCGAAGGCCACCAGCCTCCTCTGTCTTGCTAATAGCCCTGTTCTTTTAATGAAGGATAATCAGTGTTTACCCAGAGCCTTCACAAACAGCTCCTGCTGCTTGGTTTCATTATGCATGCAGGCTTTGTGCGAAGCTGCTTCCAGCTGCCTGTGTGGCCTGCTGCAGGGGACGTCCGGCTGGAGGTCCCACCATCCTCTCGCCATGGCCCAGCACCCTCCAGGCCTCGCTGCTGGCCCCTGGGGCAGCTTCAGGGTGCTAGGGTGGTGACAGTATCTCAAGACCCTGCCTGGGCAGACCTCCTCCTGTCAGCTCCTCCTCTGTCTAAAGCGCCCTGCTTGCTGGGAGGGGCAGCACCTGCCTAGCTGGACAATGTCCAGGACACAGGAAGCACCCGATAAATTACAGCCAATAAAATGTCTAGTAATGGCTGCTAGCATGTCTGCAAGCCGGCTGCGTTCTGGGTACTGAACTGGACACCTCGTGTGTGTCAGGGGCAAATACGCATTAAAGTGCGAGTGGCACAGCTGTCCCTCCCCACCTCTGCCCCCGCCACCGCCATCCCCCTCCACCTCCGCCCCTCCCTGCCCCCCCAGTTCCCCCACCGGCCCCGCCATCAGTCGGGGCTCTTGCTGCTGCTCGGCTCTATGGCCTTTGATAGAACCCGGCAGATGGTAGGTTTTGGAGCAGAAGATGCCCAAGAAGAGAAGGAAAGGCACACGGGTGTGGGTTGGGGAGGGAGGGAGGTTGCAGTGGCAACGGGAGAGGTGGGGCAAGTGAGAAAGGAAGGTGGCGGGGAGGGCACTTTGCGGAGACAGCGGTCACTGAGGGCCTTCGGGCTCCTGCCTGGGGCCAGGCCCTGCAGTGCCTCCCAGAGCAGCCCTAACCAAGAGAGTTCACTGGAAATCAAGACAGGCCCCCCGCCCCTTACTCCTGCCAATTTAGAGTTAGAGCTGTACTTGTTTCTGGAAGTTTCTTATGTGAGGGGTTGGCTGAAGGTACATGTCAGGATGTCACCCTCACCCAGTGACCATTCCACCTTGGCCAGAAGGCGCTGCTGTCCCGGGTCGAGGACCTGAGCGAGGGCCTGGGAGTGCCCACCCCACCCTCTGCAGCCTCCTCTTTCTCACAGCCTCTCTGTCCTCCAGTATCCAGAGGCCCTGAGCTGGTCACCCCATTGTCACTTTGTGACGCCAAAGCCCTGGGCCAGCCTTGCCACCAGCGCTTTGGCTCCCGTGTGTTGGGGTAGGGCCCCACGGAGCTCCTGGGGTGGCTGTTTGGAGTGGGCACATGGCACACGGGCACGATGTCTCTGGTCATCTGTTCCACGTGTCCACAACGCTGATGAGCTTTAAGAGATCACATTTCTGTGTTTCCGAGATCTG